TAGATAATAGCGTTTCTATCTTTTCTATTATATCCCTCTATCTTTACTTACTAGGGTAAAGATATTTATAGAATATTCTAAATATCTCAGATAATATAGGCTAATCCTTTATTAATAGTTATATAGGGTATTACTCTAGTATTAAGTAAAGTAGTTATATAGGTTAACTAACTATTAGATATAAGTATAATTAGAAAAGTAAATTATTTATTATTTCCTAATACTATATATAAATCTAAAGATATAACTACTTTTATAATACTTATATCTAGAAGGAAGACTTATTCTAGGCTTAGGCTTTTCCCGCCTTAGAGGGTTTAGAGATCTCTTCTATATAACTAGGGTTAGGTACTAATATCTTAGCTACTAAAATAGTATATTCTTTACTAGGATACTTAGAAGATATATATCTAGTCTATCTATATCTAAAGTATTATCCTTCCTTTATATAGCGGGTATAGATCTCCCTATCTAGACTCTTAGCGTTAGGTACTAGGATTATCTTTATCTTATAAGGTATAGTACTAGATAATATCGAAGTTATAGTAGTAGTTTTATTATTAGACTTCTTAGAGAAACACGCTTTCGACGCTCTAGATAGATTAGTACTTTTATTATTAGTAGTCTAGCTATATTACTAAGCGGAGATCTAGCTACTTAGGTAAAGAGTATTATACTTCTTTCTAATCTTATAGCTAAACTTAGTAAAGAATATAAGGAACTTATCGATTAAGTTAATATCGATAATCTCCCGAAGTCGGGGAGTTAAGCGGTTCTAGAGAGCGTACTTCTTCTAGCGCTTATCTATAATAAGTTCGCTAGCGTCGAAGAGATAAGAGAACTAAGATAGGAAGTCGCTAAATAACTAGCTATCCTATATCTCTAAGTTCTAGAAATCCTATTTAGAGCGTATAGCTTTATTATAATCGCTAAAGATAGATCTAAGATACTTAAAGAGGTCGTTATAGTTCTAGTATTACTCGGAGGCTATATCTATTATATATTAATTAATATTCTATTCGGCTATATCTCTATATCGAGAGTAAGCGTAGTCTAAAGCTAAGGGATTAGTAAGATCTAGTCCTATACTATATAGCTTACGCTCTATTATAATCTTCTAGTTTTCCTAAGTTATTTCCTTTCTATTAGTAAGTAGGGATAGATTAGGAATCTTAAATTTATATATAGTATATATAGAATCGGAATAGCCTATTATAGTAGTATCTATAATAGCTTTATACTACTCGCGTTAGTTAGTAGAAGATATAGGATAGCTTATTTCGATTCGATCGGCGGAGATATAGATCTACTAGAGGATTATCTATAAAAGCTTAATAGTAGTTATATTAAGATTAGTATATTCCTCGGATTTATAGAAGAGCTTATCGTTTATTATCTTCTAGTTTATTAGTTTAACTATCTTAGCAGTAGCTATAGTAAGCTATCCGCGTTATTCCTCTACTTTATTATCGAGATAATATAAATAGTCGACCGTCGCTCGCTATATATCCTATATTAAGTCGAATATAAACCTAGGTTCGTCGCGTACTAAGTCGATAAAATTCTTACGGCTAAGTTTTCTATCGCGTAAATACTCGAGTAGATTATCTAGCTAAGGCGTAACCTAAATAAAATATATATTATAGTCTTTATAGGGAAGATTATTAGGTCTAGCTAAGGAGCTCTATCGATATATACTATATAACTCTTCCTAACTAGGTTCTTTATTAATATCTAGGCGTACTATATTAATAGATACTACCGTATTAATTATTTAAAGGAAAAAGAGAAAAATAAGGAAAGATAATATATAAAGACTTAATAACTCGTAATAAGCGCCGGTCTATTATATAAAGGTAAAAAGAATATTAAAGGTCTTAGTTTTTATATAACTCCTAGGTAGTATAGTTATAATAATCTACGTATAGAAGAAGAAAGATAAAGTAACTATATCCTATATAATAAAGAAAACTAAGATAAAGGGGAAAAAGGAAAGAAAGAAATAAGGAAGATAAAGTACTATCTTAAATATCTATTATAGGCGGGGCTATAGTAAGGTAGTAGAATCCTTATAGAAAGTCCCGGATAGAAGGTTCCTCTATAGAAGTAAACCGAAAGATAAATAATCCTTAGGCTCTAGCGTATATATACGCGTAAGGCTTCTATTAATAATATATAGGTAAATATCTAATCTTATAAATATAAATATTAATTATATAATCTCCTCCTTAACTCCCTAAGTCTATATCTATTAACTAGCTAACTAACCTACTAGTTAATACTAACTCGCTAGTCGGCTAACTAACTAGTTAGTAAACTTACTAGTTTACGGTAACTAACTAGTTAACTTATCTAACTAACTCTATACTCTAAGTCTATTCACGAACTAGTTAACCGACTAGCTAGTTAACTATTAACTTATTACCTATATGTTATAGGTAGTATTCTAGGGACTATACTAGGTCTATCCTTAACTCTCGATATTTTTCTAGTTAATCTCGGGAAAATCTTCTATCCCGTACTCTACGCTAATTAGGTCGCGGTAGTCTATATTATCTACGTAAGTCTCGAATATATTTCCTTCTATAACTTACTATACTACTTTTACTCGTTCGTTGTATACGGTTTAGACTTCTTCGTCTATTAGTTTCTATCCGGTATAGCGTATAGTAATTCGTACTTTTTTACCGTCGCTAGTTACTCGTAATTATTATAGCCGAATCTATTCGTCTTAGGTTACCCTAATCTATTATAGCCTTACGTTATTATATCTCTTATAACGCTTACGTATCTATAGCTTTATATTATTACGCTTTTCCTTATACTTATATATCCTATATCCTACTTTTCTATATTTAAAGTATAAGTTATTATCTCTACGCTATTTTTCTTCGTCGGCTAGGAGCCTTACTATATTAAGCTCTATCGGTTTCGGTCTATAGGGATCGCTATCTCTTACGGGTCTATTTAGTCGTTTATCGTAGCGATAGTAGGATAGTTAGCTAGTACCTTAGCGCTATCCTTTAATTTCTCTTTTTTCTATTTATTAATCGTATAGGTAATTATCGATTTATACTACTATATCGATAAGTTTTTCTATAGTATCTAATTAATTAATCTATATAAGTTTATCCTTAATATAGGATTTAAGTCCGTAATCGTAGTACGGAATTAAAGCGTAGTCCTTCTATTATAGTATCGCTATAAGTTATATAAACTTAGCTATATAGATAGATATTAATCTAGTTTATCGAATTTATTTTAGTTTACGTTTAGCTATCTTCTTAGTATTAATATCGCCGAAGATTCGTTCTAGGTATTATCGAAATATAGTATAGCTACTAAAGATTAACTACGTAGTTATATTCTATTTACTACTATCCTTTTCGTAATATTTACGAATATATAATTCGAGCTAGTCCTACGCCTATCCTTATAGATAGGCTAATATAAAGATAACTTTACTATCTTTATTAACGAGGTATCCCTTATTAATATCGATATAAATATCTATCTACGTTAGGAATCCTTATAACTTCTATCTATTACTATCGAAGATCTTAGCCTTCGGGAGCTTAGGTACTCTAATAGTAGTTACTAGTACTAAAGCGACGACTTAAGTATAGAGTTACTCTAAGTAGTCCTTTACGCTAGTTAAGTAAATATTATAGTTCGCGCCTAACTAATCGAGATATTCTCGAAGTTAGTTAATAATAGTCTTAAGGTTTTAAATTTCTATATCCCGCTCGTTATCCGAGTCGGGTTTAGTTATTATAGTTCGTATAGGAGTCTTTCCCTTTAGTATACTATTATTATCTACTATAATAACTTTACTTTACGGTTTAAAGATAGGGCGATTAATATATTACGCGGTACCGACTAGTTACTATAAAGTTAGGATACTTTACGGGTTATACTTACCTAATCCTAACTTTAGATTCTAAGAGTATCTCTTAATCGTACTATTATATTATAACGCCTTACTACGGGCTAGATTCTGTTAAGTATCTTATAGAATATACTAGAGATATACGCCGAGTAAGTTAATTATCTAGTATTACTACTAAGTAAATCCCCTACTCGTAGGTTAGATTATCTTAAGATTAAACTATAAAGTATATAAAGTACTCTAGTAGTAACTAAGTAATAATATATAATTATACTATTCTAGTAATAGGAGTAATTAATCGCGAAGAACTAAATATATAATACTAAACGAATATCCTTATATATCTAGTCCTTCTTAATTATAGTCTATAGTTAGGAATAATTAATAGTATACCGGACTAGTCGTTCCTATAGTCTATACAGTATACCTAACTATATACCCTAGATTATATACGTAGTAGCTATTCCCTACGTCGCGCTAACTATCCTATAGGTTAAGTCCGTATAGGTCGTAACGGTTAGGTATAGGCCGAATCTGGCTTTCTTGTCTAAATATTCTTTTTCAGGACCCTCCGGGGCGTGCCTATGTATACTAAGACGTACGTGATAACGCTAATATCTAGCGTCCGCGGAATGATTAGTCCTTGTTTGCCCTTAAATAGCTACGGCCCCCCGTACCTTCTTGAGGTCCGTAATAGAATGGTTAAATAGTAATAGGAAAAAGGCTGAAAATACTGAACGGTTCATCTAAATTCTGATATATTTAACTTGCTCCGGGCTAAAGTTGGAGTCTGTACCTAGTGCCGCACAAATCCTCTGATGATGGGGCTGAGGATAGTTACTTCCTTCCGTTGGTTAGCTTCGTTTTTTTACTGCCTAAAAAACAGCGCACAATTGAATGGTTTTAGGTCGATAAGAAGACCTACCAAATCCCCCGACTAGCTGCTAGCAGCAGTGGCGCAGAGATACTGCTAGGATGACTAAGATATGTTTTAAGCATTTTTCTGGTGAACATATCAACCGGATCATATTGGAGCTAATATAAAAGGGCCCGCAAAATGAGCTGAGGTAGACGTGAAAGTTGTGCTCGGAAACGAACGTCAGAAAATAACTTAACCGAGATCCATCCGGCTGAGATACGGTGTTACCTCTGTCGACCCTACGGCTTGCTCATGGTAACCTAGAATTTCACCATACCTTGGATAACATCGTATCAGTATTCTCCTCTCAGCCGTCTCTAAGTCAGGAAAACAAACATACGTAATATTTTTCCACACATCAGCCGTTAGGTTTGCTTCCAGGAAAGATATGTCAAATCTCTCGGCAGCAACAGGCTCGTCACCTGGGTCATGATACAGGGCGAGATATCGGGCCTCGAGTGCCTTAGCCGCGGAACATCGCTTCTCCGGGTCGAACTGAAGCAACTCCTCCAGTAGACCAATAGCTGCAGATGTTAGCACTCGAACTGCTTGAATGCAGAATGGCGTTAATACAATCCCTGTCGGTGATGGGCAGAAGCTCTGCTAGAGGTTTGCGAGGTCGGGTGGGGATCGACCTGATAAAACTCAAAGTCTAAAATGAACTTATTAATAAGGATCGAAAGCTTGATAGCAACCTGGGAGCATGCTAACACTTTGATTCGTCACATTAGCCGTGACGTTATCCGGCGGAGTGCCTAGTAGTTGGACGATCACACAGAACTGGTCTATATGATTCTTCCCTGGAAAAATGGGTCGCCCTAGGATCATCTCCGCGAAGATACAGCCAGCACTCCAGATATCGACTTTTTCATTGTATCGCCCCCAGTTAAGCATAACTTCTGGGGCTCTGTAGTATCGGGTGGAAACGTAGCCGGTCATCTGTATCTCTTGGACTCGAGCCAGGCCAAAGTCGCAGATTTTGAGATCGCAGTTTTCATTAACCAGAATATTACTCGGTTTTAGATCACGATGAAGTACACCGGCCGAATGGACGTATTTTAGGCCGCGCTAGTTATAGGTTAGCAATTACCCTTCACGGGGGGTCATTATCCCTTTCACCATTATTTGATACATGAAGTACTGACTGAACTTTTCGTCGATCTTTTTCGATTTCAAAAGAGTATCGAGATCAGTGGCCATAAGATCCGTCACTAGATAGCTTTGCGGATATCAGAAAGCTACCCCTGGAATCAAATGGGGCGAACATATACATGTCTTCGGACGGTGAGATAAAAACGTCAGTTAAACGGACAATCTGGATCAAGGTTAGCATTCACGGTTTGTACGTAGTAGGTTGGTGACAAACATTCTCGTGGTCAAGCTGTTTCATTAGCTTCACTTCTCGGAAGACATATTTGGCGATGCTGGCAGTCTTAAATGGCTCGGCAAGTTTCTTGATCGCAACAGTTTTGTGTGTAAGCCGGTCTCTTGCGGAGCTAAGGAAAATAAGCAAGTCGACTCAGCTTTGCTCAAATAATGAGCTAACACGCTATTCCGGGCAGGCGACGTACCAAACAAGTCCCGAGATACCGACGCCCACAAGCTCCAGCTGTTGGTATCTATCATCCAACTTAGTCCCCGCTCGGACAAGCCATCCGTTGTGATATACTGATATACCTTGTTGTCGTTTCGAATAATACACCCATAACGTTCCTCTCTGTGAACTGCGCCATTTCCTTCACGGCTATGGGGGTGTGGCCCACTGATTTAGACATGATTGATACTGGAGGTTTTTCCAACCGAACCAGGTTCTTGTTGCGATGTTTGGGATGTTGCCGCATGAGCATCCAACACAGTGCCGCAATCTACCGTAGCATCAATGCAATTTGGCTTATCCTTCTTATCTATCTTTCTCTTACTCTGATTCTTCCCGTGTCTGGTGGCAACGTCACTGGGTAGTAGCATCAGTGGCTTCCGCCATAACCCATAACTGTAAGGGTTACCTCAGTACCGCACTGGCCCATAGCAACCGTGCAGCGAATCAATATCTCTGAGATATGGTGCATTCCAGGACAGCCATCCATGACGTCCCATAAACAGCCAGGATCCGTGGGATTGATAGGGAAACCTAATCCGGAGGATGTGACAGGCTGATCTGCGTTCAGGAGAATATCAACTACCCCCCAGCGTATGAGTGGTAACAAGTGGGCTCCCCTCAAGCGGTACGGGTTAACTTAAAACGAATCCGTCGTTGTCACATCTACAGCGGTGTCGCAAATGTCACAGGCTACCCGAGGTATTAGTTACGTTTGTTAGTCTGCTGACAAATGGTGGCCCACACCACTCGTAAGCTACAGTTAGAGGCAGTGTTTCCTCAAGCAGGAGGCGGTGAAGAGTGGTACTTCGGGTAGTTTGCACCGCCACAGGTGGCAAGATCACCAACTTATCAAGTAGCTCGTTAATCTTCCGCAATGATCCTGATCATAAACTGGTGGAGTTATTGAGACATCCTCCGGCTCTGAGGGAATAGTAAACTCGTCCATAGATATTGCTCCTTCCACGGGTCGGATGTTTACTCCCCGAGGTAGGTCACGACGAGCTTCGCCACGAGGAGCTTATTCCATGTGGTCCTAAGTCCTGACTCATTCTTGAAAGCTGGCGGCTGATATGGAGATTGCCACAATCCGCATGCTCAACTGGTTTGGGGCGTCTAGAGTTTGGGGATCCCAAGAATGCTGGCTCCTCTACTCCGTAAAAGGTCGACAAATCAAGCGCCCAGCTGGTTTTTGCCCGACGCTAAGAGTGATTTTCTGGAAAACGTATGATGTCATTTCCACACCCTCCGAGGCTGTAATTCTAGACAACACTGACCGCTATTGCAACTAACCCATATCCGTCGTTACGTTAACACGCCCGCTTCAACAAGTGTCCTTTCGTAGTAGCGCGATCTGATGGCGGAATCATTGAGTACGAGATAGACCTTCAATCAATATTTGTTGCACCTGCTCTGACCCCAACTAATACTCTTGACCCTAACTAGTACAACAAGTGCCCCTGACTAGCGAAAACGATCAGACCAGGGGCCAAATGCCTCCTTAGCAGGACCGTATCTCCGAGTACCATGAATTACAAAAATACCGCCGTGCTACCCATCACTTGATTGACATGATACGCCGAAGCGATGAGGCCGATATACAAGAACTATTTGAGTCGATTCGGAAGCCAAAAACCTTGTCTGAAGCTATACAGGAAGCTTTAGACTTAAGTACAGCTGATGAAGGCTGGGTTTTGAGCGGCGCCGCGACCTAAGAAGTACCTAAGAAGCACGGGCTTGTCTCAGTCTGCTTCTTCGTACTATACGAGGTATTTGGTAGCATGAGGTCGCCCTGCGAGCTAACCGCCTGTTGTATTCTTGTTGCATAATCTCGGCTCCTTTCGCATTGTGAATTTCTTCGATTGTCTGCTCTCTTCAAATAGCTCGTCAGCTACTTGAGGGGATGAGTCACAACTACTTTAAAAGGATCGGGAGTGAAGACTAGCTTGGTTGTTGTACCCGCGTTGCTCGATTGTGCAAGAGGTTACGCAGTTTGGCTAGACTGGTGCTGCAGAAGCTTGGACGAAGCACTACAGACTTATTCGAGATGCGGTCGTTATGGGACTTTGAACAACCATGTATTTGGCAAACAATTGCTTAACCTTTTTGCAGATACGGACTAGCGCAGCTTCGGATAGGCTGGGAATGAAAGACCCCTATCCAGAGAAGAAGTTCTTTTCGTCTCCCACTATACTGAATATTGCGCTGTCAAATGTAAGGTCTGGGTATAAGAGGCACTTCTCGCTGCGGTAGGTTTCATCAGCGACCTGGAAATGATACTTTAAGCCTGTATGGCCAAAGAAAGGAGGACTGGAGACAATCGGCCCACGAAGCAAAATTAAAACGGTGATGTGGTGATTATCTAGGGTTGCCTTCGCGGCGAGTGTGATCATAAATGATACGTCACTTTTATCAGGTAGTCAGAACATCGAATATAGTAGTTTAAGAACTGTAAATACTGTTAATCATCACAACGTATCCCTCACAAGTCAAGTAACGCCAAGAGCCACTCCCAGCGCCGACAGAATTGGTTCTACATCACTTCAACAACGTGCGCTCTATATCATTTCAACAACGTGCGCAGTTTTCTTGACGTTCTTAACCCAGTCACGAATATTCTCCACAAAAGTTCGGGCAATTCCGGGTTTGATCCCCTTGCCAACAAAGAATTCTGGGTTTTGGTCCCTGAAGATGTGCTCAAGGTCAAAGCCATCTGACAGTGTTATGTCGCAGGCTTGTCGAAACGATGCTTTAAGGTTGTCGTCCTCGACACTCGAGGCAAGTCACTCACCGAATTCCTTGACAGCTACGTCTCTGAAACCGGGTATGTAGAGTGGCCCTATATCCTTCAAGCGTACGGGCTTAACGGCTACTTCGGGAGCCGTAATATCCGTTCTAGAGCGATGAGACTGCGATAGCAGAACATTAATATTGATAGGAGGATAGGGTGCCCTAGCCGTAAGGATGTTTCCTCCTTTACGCTTTTCTTTCTCTAGCCTCTGCTACTCTTCCATGTATAGCTCTTCCCTAACGTTATCTGGGACGTCTCTGTGTGTCTCCAGAACGCCACCCTTTTCGACGTAGGTTACCAACCTTCTGAGATGATGTGTGCGGAGTTGATAATACTTTTTCCCCATCGGGTCCAGCCAGTAGTAAGGACTAAGATAGCAAGAAGCCGAGGTATATCTTATCAGATTATAGACGCAAAGCTAAATCGATTACTACCCAGAGGCATTTTCTTTAGTATCGAGCTATATATCCCGATCATTAAGTATTCTCGTTGTAACGGAAGACTTTCCTCTCTTCTCTCCTCGCCGACTAGTGCTTAGTGACGAGCGATCCTCTATATAGTTAAAACAGATATTTAGTCTGAGTTTCTTTCCATAGTAAAACAGACCAGCCCATATATAGAGCTTTTTTTTGATAGCAGTCTAATTAATATTTAGTTTGTCGAATCGCTTGGTGAGGTCACGCTAGGAGCGATCATTTACAGACACAATAATTGCAGTGTTATTAGCTCTGACCCTTCGGTCGGTGGAGACCTTTCCTCGGAGGACATTCTCTAGTTTCCCTTTTAAGGTCACTTCCTAGAAATTATTTAGGGCCAGAACCATATCCTCTTCCGTGTCTTTTGCGACAACCTTATTATTGACTGTGACTCGCTACTCTATTAAGTAGTAGATACAAGTTAGGGGGTTTTCGTCGTAGTTATTGTGAGTATAACAGGACTGACTCAGGATAAGAAGGGAGGATAGGGGATATATATACCACGCCTACTATGTGTACTACGCGTACCGTCTTAAAACTTAGGATAAATTATAGTCTCTTCTCTTTTCTTTTTCTCCTCTCTAGCCTTTAAGATTCTTAATACCATATAGTTAAGTTAGAATAAAAGTTTATAAGTCCTTCTGAAGCTTTTCTATTCTCGCGTATAATATTATCTTAAAGGCTCTCCCTTTTTTTCTTTTTATAACCTTTTTTAAAGTATTAGCTAGGTAGTAAGATACTATATCCTCTAGCTATCCTAATAACTTTACTAAGACCGAACCGATATAACTAGTACCGAAGCCACGATAGTACGATTACGTAAGCGAATCTCCCCTATAGAATAAACTCCTTATAGAACCTCCTTAAATTTTAGCTACAAAGATACTAAATACGAACTCGAAACCCTAGAATAGCTACTTAAGTAGATTTCTAGTAATACTCGAGTAGCCTTCTAAGTCTTAAAGTAGGAGGCGGAAAAGAACGAATATCTTACTAAGTAGATCGAATAGTTAACCGAGGAAAATAAGATATTAAAGTCTCTAAATACTATAGAATAGACTCCGGAAATTTAGTATATAGAAGAAGCTTACGCTAGTCTTCGCGCCGACTATAATAAGACTACTAAAGAACGCGATATACTAGTAACTATAATACGATTTATATAGATAGATTATAATACTAGTAGAGGAATTAGTTTAAGCTATACTATATCTAAGACTAAAGGACTCTACTATAAATTAACTAAGATCTCTAATCCTCTAATACTTAGCGATAGTAAGAAAGTTAAGTTTAAAGATTAGGAATCGAATATCCTTAAAAAACTTAAACTAAATTATAATTACTATCTAACTAAGAAGTACTATATTATATATACTAAGAGTTAATATAAAGGAAAAGTACTAATATATATTAATCCTTATATATATATAGATACTACTAACTAGTATAAGAAGCTTAAAGAGATACTAAAGTATCTAGGAAGCGTCTTTAATAACCTAGACCGTAAGAGACTCGTATATAATAAGTATACGAATCTAAAGATAGATATTAAGACTAATTTTACCGATTTCCTAGTAGACTTTAACTAGCTAGTAGAAGAGGCTAGTTAATCTATAGATCTACAAAAATAGGATCTATATTAGAAGATCCTACTACTAATATAAAACTAAGTAATAATAGATATAGATAATAATAAAGTATCTCTCGATTAATTCGTACGCTAATACTAGAAAGCCGCTAGGAGAATCTCTTAGTAGATCGTAGTATATAGCTTACGTAAGTTACGCCTAAGTATAGATTTATATAATAGTCGCGCTTAGAGTAATACTATAGCTCGAAATACTATCTTAAACTCGAATATAACTAGAGCCCCTTCGATCTTCGTTAAAGACCTAGCTAAGAAAGTATAACTTA